CGTGTTTTTTCCTACCTCGCTGCCCTCCACTTTCCCATTCTGGAGCGCTAGCTTTCGCCCCCCCCCTTGGCCTCAAGTGTTTTAATTATATAATGTTCTAAATAGATATTTTATTATTGATATAATATATTAAAGAATTTGATTTATAGTAATACAAATAAACATAATTTTTTGTAATTTAGTAAAATATAAATTCTAAATGAAAAAAAAAAAAAAAAAAAAAATTAGAATTAAAAAAAATATATATATTATTATTTAATGAATTGTATATCGAAATTTATTTTTTTATTGATTGCTAATGATAAAAATATTTGGAAATGATTCCGGTTATATTAGTATAAGAAAAATATTATGTAGATATTTAATAGGAGGAAGATTTTGTATAATAATTTAATATATTATTTATATCGATAAAGATTAATGCAATGAATAATATATGCATTCCGTCATGAAATGATGGTGCTTTTTGAAAACGAAGAAACAGTGAAACACATGTATGTGGTAAATGGTTGCGTACGTGTGCCATTTTGGCCTTAAGTGTCCCCCTACCGTATTTATTGTCCTTTGCAATGGAACTGGATGATGATAGTCCTTTCTATGTGGGGGATGAGAACACGGGAGGGGGATTTATAAATGTGGAAGAGGAGGAGCTAGAGAGTCTTCGGGAGTTGGCGAATTGGGTGAGGGAGGTTATTGCTATGAGACTATGTGACAGACAAGGTGACACTTAGCTCGATGTGGTGCTAGAATCGGGCTCTCCAACCGAGGTGGTAGAGGACTTAGACGTGGAGATGGTTTTCGAAAGCCCCTTGGAGGCCCTGAAGAACCTTGTCTAGCAGGCATGGCCTTTAAAGAGGGCATGCCATTAGGCTAGCGGAAGCTCAGAGGAGATGATCCAGAATGAGATGAAGAAGCTTAAACACAAGTTTCCTCAAGAGCTGAAAATGCCCTGGGAAAAGCGCTTCGCTGGCCTGGTCTTGCAGCATGACTCCCAGGTCATGAAAGACACCTTCATGAACAAGGAGAACACGAAGGCGTGGGCTATGGAGCAGGTGAACGAGGACACGGAAAATAGCAGTGCCAAGGACGACACGACCCAGGTCCTGACTAACTCCAAGGAGACGGACGGAGTGAGACCTCTCTGGGCCCAAGCTGAAGCAGATGATAGACAGACAGTGTTTGATGGGTGGTTGGTAGTCATAAATGAGGCCAGGAAATTCTGTAAGGCCGCAATGTTGATAGATCAAACCGGCGAAGAAGCGTTGGAGGACATATTTGCCCGCAAGAGGAGCAGTACCCTGCAAGTCAGGCTGAGCGCAATGATGATGTATGTGAGGTGGACAAGATCACAGGCCTTCGAGGCGTTCCCACTCAAGGAGGAGCAGTGTTACAGCTACGTGGATGGCTTGAGGAAGGATGGTGCCCCAGCCACGAGGGCCATAAGCTTCAGGAGTGCATTGGCGTTCTGCAAGGACACCATTCAGCTCGAGGGAGTGGACGATATACTGGAGAGTGCTAGAATCACTGGTTCATCGCATCGGAGCTACATGACTAAGGTGGTGCTGAAGCAGAGAGATGCCTTGACTGTCGATAGGTGATGGCCCTCGAGTGCGTGTTGGCAGGACGAGAATTTCCCATGCGTGACAGGTTGTTCGCAAGGCACTGCCTACTCTGCATCTATGGGAGGCTCAGGATGGGAGACAGCCAGGGCATCGAGAATGAGCCACAGGTCCTCAGGGGCTATCTGGAAGGCGGCGCTGCCATCCACAAGACAGATGGACTCCGAGGACGAGCCAGAAGGGTGCTGCCTGTGGTGGCGCCTGTAGTTGGAGTGTCGGGCATGGCATGGGCAGACGAATTTTTAAAGCTTAGGCACCTGGCAGGGCTGAAAGCCTTGCCAGGGGTGCCCTTCCTGCCAACGCCAGTAGTTGGTGGGGGCTGGAGCAGAGCAAAGCTGACCACCCCCGAAGCGACAGTGTGGCTATGTGAGATCCTCCAGAGGTACTCCGGGACCAGTTCACTCGGAAATGTGGGGGCCCACTCGTTGAAGGCGACGGCTCTGTACCACGTGAAGCCGAAGGACAAAAGTGTCATGATCTACAGCAGGGACGCCCTGACAGAGGGTCTCGAGACGCTCACCGGGATCATCGAGAAGATCAAGAAGCTCGAGTTTCGCCCAGATGCCCCACGCAATCAGAGATGGCAGCACGACAATGAGGCTGAAGCTCGTCCAAGTTCACCCGGGGTAGTCCTGGAAGATGATGAGGATGAGGAAGTGGTGCCAGGTGGTGACGCGAGGCTTGATATGATTGAAGTGGCTACGCCGGACAAGAAGATGCATCGCATCGTGAGCCTGGAGGAGCTTTCAAGTGAGAGTGAAGAAACTGAGGAGGAGTGTGCTGAGAGTGCAGATGAGCGGAACCTAGAGGCCGTCCTCAGGGCAAAGATTGGACTGCCGAAGAAAGCAAAACATGATTTGTACAGGCACGGCTTGCCAGGCATGCTGCACTATGGAAGTGTGACTCCTGGGAAGTTGGCATGCGGCAGGGCCATTACTCCAGTGGTGTTTAAGCTGGAGGAAGACGTGTATGGCCTGGGAAGCATGTGCAGAGTGTGTCAAGGACGCGCCAAGTGAAACGCAGGAAGTGCGAAGTGAAAAAGCGTCTGGGAAGGAGAAGTGAAGGGAGGTCAGCAGATATAGGTAATCAAGTTGGGTAAAGAGTTAAGGGATCAAAGTGAAGTGTATGTCAAAGTGCAAGTGGCACGTTGGCGACCAGGGGAGTTGTTCCCCAAGTTGCACTTGGCTTGTGACCGGGAAGTCCGGTTTCAGGTCGCGTAAAGCAGGGCAGTCCTGCAAGCTGGAAGTGGCACCGCGAGGACTGAAGGGTCAGAGGAGTGTGTTGTGTGTTTGAGAGAAGTTGATGTGACACGGCTTATACATGCCTACAGGTAGGACACCAGTATGTATGTGGAAGAAGTAGGTTTGAGAGTACTCATCATTTGATTTGCTGTGAATGATGTTGGCGGTGTGAGTGAATAAGTGGGCTCAAGAGGGGCAGCGGACGCAGCTCGGTTAGCGACATGGCGACTCTGACGGAGTCGCAAGCCGTTTTTGAGTCAAAGTTGAAGGACATGGGGCTGGAGGGGTACAAGGACGCCATGACTCGAAGAGGGTGGACCACCCTCTCAACCTTTGCTGTTGCAAGTAGTTGGTCTCCGGTGTCTGGAGATGATACCAGCTTTGTGAACCAAGTGGTGATGCCCCTGTTGGGGGCGGCAGACCACGCGGACTTGCCAAAATTGAGGAAGCTATACCACGAAGCCTATACCGTGGTTGCAGCGGAGCTCCGCAGCAAGCTGGAGGGGACCCAGGAGACGGATGGGAGCAAGACCAGGAAGCTGCCGCCAGTAGAACGTAAGACTCGATGGACGCAGATGAAGGTGACCTACAGGCACCTGCAGATGTCTGACCAACTCGAGCCAGCCCATCACGTGGTGGACAAGTGCCACTCGATGAAGGTGGAAGGAGAGTTGAGGCACCTTGCCCCGCATGAGGTGCCCACCAGAGACCAGGAGCTCCTGAATGTGAAGACCGAGGAACTGATCAAGAGAGATGCATCGGGCCACCTCAGGGCGCATGATGAAACGAGACTACAGAGGCAGACACCAAGACGGATCTGCGGCTCCGCCAAGCCTACACCAGGCGTGGATTGGCGCTGGAGGTGGCAGATGTTATGACCTTCACAACGCACGAGAGGCTCATCGACAAGATGTTTCAGGAGTACCAAAGGGAGGCACCCATGGGGTATGCAGGAGTCACGTTGGCACAGATAGCAGCGGCGGACCGGAGGGCCTTCAAGCTGATGGCGGAGGAACTGCAAGGAGACCTTGGACGCGACGCCACTGGCAAGCGACTGGCGGACAGTGCCTTGGAGAAAGTCATCATGGAGCCAGCATTCATCACCTTGCTACTACCCTTGCCAGGAGCGAAGGCGAGCGCAGGCAAAGATCAAGGCGACCAAGCACCAGAGGCGACTGGCTCGACAGCCAGCAAGCGCAAGTTGATGCGAGAGAACCAAAAGTTGAAGGAGAAGCTGAAGGAGACGGACGCCAAGAAGACAAAGGCCACTCCACACGCCGAGACAGACAAAGCAGCGGCCCCGAAGAAGATGCCCATCAAGATGCCGAGGGAGCTTTGGGGCTATTCACCAATGAAGCACGGTGAGAGGATCTGCTATGGCTACCAGATGGGCAGCTGCAAGGCGGGAAAGGATGGCAAATGTGGAAAGGGGCTGCACATTTGTATGAAGTGCTGGAAAGGCAGCCACGGAGCTTTGCAGTGCGACCAGTGAGATAAGGAGGAAGCTGGTAGGCGCAGCGTGGCACAGAATTGGGCAGTGTCAAAAGACAGGCGCCCGAGGGAGCACAGACGTCATGCAGGTGGAGGCAGCTCCAGATGAGAGCCAGGCGAATGAGGCCACGCTCAAAGTTTGTACAGAGGATTTCAAATTCTCCAGGCAAGACCCTGGTAAGCTGAATGGAAAAGTGGCAAGCGGATGCTGCCAAGTGACCTGAAATTTTTCAAACTTTGAAGGCTAAGTAAGTGGTCAAAGTCTTATGCTCGCACAGTGTGCATCACTCACGAGACGTGTAAGAACAGGCTCGGAACATGTAGTTTCTGACTTCATCCCCCGCAAAGTCCCCGGGACAGAGGAGCGACAGAGGTGGAATCTTCTCTCTCCCACATGGCACCCCCCTGCGAGACCAAGACAGACCCTGCCTTTGATGGCTCCAACGGCTAGGAGCACCGTTGCATCACCTACTGCGCAGCGCGGAATGCCTCAGTGGACTACCTCACCTTCAAGGGAGGGACTGCGTGGCAATTGAGCAGTCCAACACATCTTGTAACACGAGTATTTGTGCATGCCCACAAACATAGTGTACTTGTGCTCTTTGAGAATCCCAGCAGTAGCTGGATGTGGTTGTTCAG